TAAAATCTTAGGGGCCGTTTACCTAAACACTTACCTGGTAAGCATTTATCCGTACAATTCAACACTGTTATTTACTTTTTGGGTAAGATTGTAGTCCACCAAAATAGTATCATATGCAACAATTTACCCGATAAGTGATAACCGTGGTAAGAGTCGTCGTCATCACTTACCCGGTAAAACTCTTGGTACTTGCTTTCGTTCTTACCGGGTAAGATTCTTGGTACTTTTCATATTTATCCGATAAGGTAATATGACTTGACAAACACTTACCCACGTAAGCATTTGGTAAACGGCCCCTTACTTAAATAACCATACCTTCTATTTATTTACAAATTTATCATTCTAATTTGGACCTTTGATTTTTTAATCTAATAATTGTTAGTTTATTATTTAGTTTTTCATTTTTTAGGGTTTTCCGTTGAACCTCCATCTCTCTCTCTCTCTCTCTCTCTCTCTCTCTATATATATATATATAATTCGGCTAAAAAATATATAATTGGGCTCAAAAAAGTTCTAGGGCCTCAAAAGTTTTGGTGGTCTGTTCGCAATCTCATATTAGTACACCCTATGGCATGACCGTGAAAATTGTACGATAAAAATGTTTATAGTAGAGGTTCAATTGACAATCTTCTTACTAGAATATATTACGTTTGTTTTTTAAACATTTTGAATCCACTTTAATGACATTTTTTTTTGTTTAGACAACTTGGTGGACATCATTTTCAGGTTCAAATTCATTTATGTATCGTATGATTTAAATTGTCGGTACAATATGACACCCAAGAATTGTGATTCGGGGTGACGAATCGATGAAAAGAGAGAGGTCACTGGCCTTTTTATCAATCTCAAATCTCAGAATTTCAATTTGATTGTGTTCATTATATCACTACCCCTGTAGGTGACGTACTGACGAAATGTTGCATTGTTGGAAATAGTAAGTTCAAATTATGCATAAAACAAAACAAATTTCAATAAAAAACGCAAAACATAATCCATCGAGCATCTATTGATCCATATCGAGTTCCATCAAGAACATTAACTGTAAGGTATAAGTTTAGATGTAGAACGAAAATCGAATAAGAAATAGAGAGAGAAAGAGAGAGAGAGAGAGAGAGCTCGAAAGGGGAACTTGCCTTGTGTGATAGGGAGATTGAAAAGATGATGGACTTTAATGAGGGGTACTGGAAATGGTAAGCGTCTGCTCGATGTTAGCTCAACATAGACTGATACGTGCATCATGCCTAATTTAAATTGTTTTACTGTAAGTTTCGTAATTCAGGAAAAATCTCATTTGTAGTATTGCCAATGAGTATGGATAGTAGTTCTATAAATGTGAAGCATGACTATTCCCCAACCTATGAATTCGAACCCTGGGTTTCAATTTTTACTCGATGAATTTCGATTCAATATGACCAATGTTCGATTGATTGTTTCTAGACATTCTGAACCGTATTATGGTATCAGACTGCTATCGATCTAAGTTCCTATCAGTCATTTATTGACAACATGTAACATATCCATCATCAATACAAAAAAGTCAAATCATTGGTAACGAAAACTTTATTAACATCGCAACATCATATTTACATCTAAAAATTGAAGAAGCAAAAAACAAATGACCGACAAAATAAACCATAATAAGAAGAAAGACACGAGATTATAACACTTATGAATAAAAAATCTATGAAATAAATTCAAATTAAAAAATATTTTTAGGATTAAAAAAATTAGTACCAATAATTTTATAAGAAGATTATAATAAAATAATCACCTCATTAATAATTTAAAATAAAATTGTTAATATATTAAAATAATCACCTCCAATAGAGCATGGTACACCGATCATTAATTAATTATAAGTGCTAAGCGTGTTGCATACAAGTCCAGGTTCAAGGTTATGATGGATTAGCCTGCCGTTTTATTTTAATAATTATATTTTTAATTTTCATTAAATAAATATAATTAAAGTAATCCGTACAAATTAATTAATTAATTTTATACAAAATCATGAACTTTCATCCCTAGACCTATATTCAAGTTACAAATTTAGTCTCTCATCTTTTTTGTAGTTACAGTTCTAACCGTAAGTGGTTTACATCGATAAAAATCTATTAACAACTTTAGGGGTTGTTTGTCAGTTGTTGAATTGTTTGATACAGAATGATTAAGAGACTCTTATAATATAGTGCAAAATGAAATATAATTATTTGAATTGTTTACAATGAAATTAGTGTGCTAAATAGTTAAAGGAGATTCAAGATACAAAATCATGCAGAGAGTTTTAGAACCATCAAGAGGTAAGTTTTTTTTGTTTGTTAAACAAAATTCATCTCTTAATAATTCAGACATCGTCTCTTAATAGAACTATTAAGAGGTAAATAAACAACTACTACAAGTCATTAATGATTTTGTAATAGATGTCGAACCTGCTGCTCCATTATACTAAGGAGGGGAAATGCTTAAGGCTCTCAGTTGGGTAGTAGAAGTAACTTTTAATTTATTATATGAGCCAAAATGATGGATTCAATAAGTTCTTGCCATAACCAGGTCCACTGAATAAAAGCATTAAACTAAAAAAAATGAAAAAGATAATTTCAGGTTGGAAAAATATGAAAATCGTACCTAGCCTCTCGTCCATAACTTAGCCCGAAGCTCAGCTAAGTTCCTAGAGAGTTGTCTGTATTTGACAGATTTCGAGCAAGCCCCAAAGCTGCTCGCATGAGAAGTAAGAGGGGACCTACTTTCTTTGGTTGATCCTGCCACTTAGAACTGGTAGAAAGTCACGCTCTTCTTCTGTTCTACAAATCTAACTAATCTATACTACTACTAACTATAGTCAAACTAGGTCTTCTAGTTAAAGCTTCCATGTGTAATACATATAGGGTTTTCCAAAGAAGATGGAGAGAGGTTGCAGATGATAAATACCTTTAAGGGTCCTTTGATACACGGGACATAACAGAACAAAAACTTATTGTTCCACGTTTGACTCGACATTAATTTGATAGATACAAGATTGTCTGTGACAAAATACATCCTATCTATTGAAAAAGTTTAATGAATGATTAAACTACCCATGTTAAACCGAAACCCTAAACTTTCCACAAATCTTGTACCTGCCTACCCCACTCTCAGCTATCCAATCATGTCCTGTTCACTCTCGTTTATATACCAAACCCAACCCAACCCAACCCAACCCAACCCAAGGGAACCTATATGCATTTTTTATACTCTTAAGATCTTTGATTGATATGAAATAAATTTTTTTGGTTTGCAAGTATTAAAGAAATTTATCCAAAACAGTTTTGAACTAAACTCGCAACTTTAACAAATATCCAGGGACCAATCTTGTAATTTACTCTTTAATTATATTGATGATATGAAAAGGCTAAAAAATTAAAGTTTATGACTTTTTAGAAGAAAAAAAAAGACAAAGGTTTCAATAAAATAGAAAATCAATCAAGATGATGTACAATTGAAAAATAAAAGCAAAAGGAGGAAATGCCACCATCATCTCAAACTAAAAGCAAATAAATAAATTTCTAACAAAACAGGAAAAACGTTGATTCTAAATCCACAATAAACAAAAAGGAACATAAAAAAGTTTAAAAGCACATTCAATGGAGGTCTTGAAACCGAGCATAGAAGGTAGTTGTAGTAAAAAACAATAGGCAGATGATCAAAGACATGAAGTTGGATAGTGCTGAGCCATACAAACAATCTGATAGTCACGTCTAGATGAGATCAACTGATCAAGTTGATAGGACAACGGGTAAGGAAGGGGGGGGGGGGTTGGTAGTAGTTGAGCATAAGCGGGGATTATGGTCTTTATTCAACTACTCGAGAGGCACATATGGTGAGGTTTAGGCGAAAAGGGGTGTAAGATCAAGGGCACATGAGTCAAAGGTGATAATACAGAAGATTGGGATTTCAAAGTGCTAAACAATCATATATGGTGAACTAATGGTGAATGGCTAAAAGAGGGCACACATATGAGGATCTAAATATGCTTATTTGCACAAATGTAGGTTGAGTCAGCGAGGGCTATTTGGGGTCAGTGAATAAAAAAACGAGAATAGGTGACAAAAGGAAGTGGAACAAAGAGACAACCATGTCAATTTGAAAGAGGAAGCGAGAATGACGAAAACACCTCTTATGATCACAAGAAAAGAGCCGACAACCAGATACAGGATTCAAAAATATGAGAGACAAACAACAAAATGTCTCCTAAGTTTAAGTGCAATAGGGAACATGTGGGAAACAAAAACAGATATATTGAATCATGAACTACATGAGTCTTCTTATTGAACAATTTAGTGTAGACCTATCAAGTTGACTATGAGTCGAGGGTCTTACCAGAATCAACAGTTCTATCTCTTAAACAACCGAAGGTCTCCATATATTTTACATTTCTAAACCTTAATTTATGCTGGAATACACTAAATTTGTTTTTGGTTCATTAGTTTTTGTCTGATTTTATAAGATTTACTTGTTATAATATTTTAAAATTATTTGTTTTATAATAATTAATTAATTAATATAAAGACATTTAATTAATTTTATAACTTTTTATGTTATATTTTTATAAATTATTTAATATTTATAAAAAACGAAATTCAATCTTATTTCAATTTCTACAAATTAAACATAAAAAATTCAAAATTGCGATTTCAAATCTTTCAATAAAAAATTAAACAAAAAAAATTCAAAATTGCGATTTCAAATCTTTCAATAAAATTTAATATCAAACAAAAATAAAATAAAATAAAATAATGCATTTTGGTGAATAAATACGAAGCGGTAACTTTGTTGGTTGAAAGTATTTTGATTTATCGCAGACACGGACCCACTACACATATTTGGAATCTCTAAACTGCCCGTAAACTACTGACACCTGCCCGTTGTCAGACGTTTACTCCTTCCTATCTGCCCGTCCGCCACCTTCCTCCGCCTATCTCCTCCTCTACTTAAATATGACGCCATTTCACACTTTCTTCATTCACCACCACCAAGTCACCAACCCAACTCATCTCTTGGTGGTTCTACATCATTCCGGTGGAACCCCGCCGCCGGTCTTACATACCCTAAACGGAAAACGTTAAGATGGGTCAGGGTCTTAGTTGCAGAATACGGGATGACCATGGTTTATTCACGGCCGTTCAGTTTGGGGATTTAGAGATTGTCAAGACTGTTTTGGACCGAGATCCATCTCTCATTCAACAAACTACGGTTTATGATCGCCATTCTGCTCTTCACATAGCTGCTGCTAATGGCCAGATCGAGGTTCGTAGTATTTGATTTCTTCATTTCTCTGTTCAAATTTTGGTATCTTCTTTGTGATATTTGATCGATTTGATTGATGGGTGCTTTTGCTTTTGTTTGTTTGTTTCTTATACTATCTGGGATTTCATTTCAATTTCATTCAGATGGTTTCTATGCTTTTGGAGAATCCATCAGTCAATCCTGATTCTTTGAATCGTCATAAACAGGTCAGTTTGTCATCGATTGATTAGAAGTTTCTCTAACTTTTTGTATGTTCCTTCCTTGATCAAATAAATGGGAAGTTCTGTTGATGATCCTGTTAAAAACTTTACTGATTTTGTGCGATTTGATTCATGGGTATCAGACTCCGCTGATGTTAGCTGCAATGCACGGGAAGATCACTTGTGTTGAAAAGCTCATTCAAGCTGGGGCTAATGTATGCCATACTTTTTTCCTTTTAACACATTCATCATCCTCAATCACACATATATTTGTTAAAAAAAAAGTAGAAATTGATGATGAAATTGTTCTAAATTTTCAGATTTTGATGTTTGATTCATTAAATGGAAGGACATGTTTACACTATGCTGCTTATTATGGCCATTCAGATTGTCTGCAGACCATTCTTTCCTCTGCTCGAACCTCCCATGTTGCGGTTTCTTGGTGGGTATCTCATCTTTCCCTTTAGATTCATTATTACAAGCAAACTAATCTTTTTTCCTGAATGAAGACTTATAATTTCTGTAAATTAAAATTGGGGATTTCAGGGGTTTTTCCCGATTTGTGAATATAAGAGACGGTAAAGGGGCAACACCGTTGCACTTGGCCTCTCGCCAAAGACGTCCAGAATGTGTTCATATACTCCTAGACAACGGTGCTCTTGTGTGTGCCTCCACCGGAGGATATGGGTACTAATCCTTTTTAGAAATAAATATTTTGAGAACCCGAGAACCAACTATTCATGTATTATTCATAATGAATATTCATCAGGAAAATGCATGATATCTTGAATATTTAGGGTTATTCATAATGAATAATACATGAAACAGTTGGTTCCCAGTTTGTGTGATTACTTCATTTTTCCTTGACTAAACAATCTATATTTGCAGTCTTCCTGGTAGCACTCCGCTTCATTTGGCTGCAAGAGGGGGTTCAATTGATTGCATCCGAGAATTGTTAGCATGGGGTGCTGATCGACTAAATAGAGATGCATCAGGGTAATCATTAATTGTTTTTAAACCGCTTGGTAATCTTGATTACTAGCATTAAAAGAAATGCGTCAAGATTAGTCCTAATTTGCTGGTTCCGGATTGTTTCAATTGAAAACAGGAGAATCCCATACGCCGTTGCTTTAAAACACAAAAATGGCGCGTGTGCGGCCTTGCTAAACCCTTCATCCGCGGAGCCTCTAGTGTGGCCATCACCATTAAAGTTCATTAGTGAGCTTAATCAAGATGCAAAAGCTTTATTAGAGCAGGCTCTGATGGAGGTCAATAGGGAAAGGGAGAAAACCATTTTAAAGGGCACGGGGTACTCGATGCCATCTCCATCCCATTCTGATGTCACCGCCTCAGATGATGACATCTCTGAGGTACGTAATTAAGTTTTACGATCTTTACTTAAATGGTCAAGAACAAGGGACCAAGATATATATGTAGAAGGCCTTCAAGGTCAGCTAAATTCAATCGGCAAATAAAGGCCAGGCCTTGGGGCTCGTCCTCATAGGTCGCCAGTTCAAGCCTCCTCAGGGCCACTATGGATTTTCCTACCTGTTATCTTCAGAGCCTGATTGGATTAGTCGAGGTGCTCAAGCTGGTCTTAGACACCCATGGTTACCAAAAAAAGAAGACAAAACAATAAAACTTTGAGGGCTAGCTCAACTGCCAAATAAAGGTCGGGCTCTTCCCATAGGTCGCCAGTTCTAGTCTCCTCTGGGATGTTAGAGATGTGGATTTTTTTAACTGTTATCTTTACAAGAATGGAAAGCTATAGATAAATACAAAAACTTTGGATTGTTATAGGTTGAATTGGTCATAGTTGATTGACTTTTGACTTTGATCCATAGATATTATTTTTGACTTTAGACAACATATGTTTACATTATACTTGGACTATTTTAAGGAACCTGTTATCTTTACCGGAATAGCGTCTCTATCTCCTGGGATAGGATAGAAACAAAGTCTGCATACATCCTACCTTAGACCCTATATCTGTGTGGGATATACTCGGTTCCTTTAGTTTGGTTAGTATCTTTAATAGTTGAGTTCAAATAGCTGATTGTTTCAGGATGGGAGTAATTAACATACTCAAGTTATTTGCAGGCCAGCGACTCGCAGTTATGTTGCATATGTTTTGACCAACTATGCGCGATTGAGGTCCAAGATTGTGGCCACCAAATGTGTGCTCAATGCACACTAGCGTTGTGCTGTCACAACAAGCCAAACCCGACAACTGCATCCCTAACCGCACCCATCTGCCCGTTTTGCCGAAGCAACATAGCCCGACTAACCGTCGTGAAGGTCAAAATCAACGCCGCTGATCAAGAACTCGATCTTTATTCGTCTCCTAAGCAGCGGAAATCAAGAAGGTCTCTGAATCTGAGCGAAGGAAGCAGCAGCTTCAGGGGATTGTCCTTTGGGAAAATGGTGGGTCGTAGTTCAGGTCGGGTGTCTCTTGATAACGGACGTATCGATAAACCGTGAAAAAGAGGATCGCGAAAAATCGGAAAGTTGGAAAGGAAGGATTGGTTGAAGAATGGTCTGGGCCCAATTGGGCATCATGTGTATAGAGAAGATCTCTTCAAATCTGGTTCTTGTTTTGGATTTCTGGGGGAATAAGCAAAAGGAAGGGGAGGTTTTTGCAAGTTTGGGATGGTGAGTGCTATTTGTTGTGTTACTTGAGCTTCAAGAAGCAGTTACTTGTTTAAAAAGTAATATGTTTTTACTTCTTTCCAAGGCTACAAAATTCAAAATTCATCCATGTAATTCCTACATTATTCAAGATATTTGTTATTTGTTACTTAAATGTTTGGTGCACCGGACAACGGTTATGTTTGACAAACTAACTGATAAGTTAGCTGTTAGTTGTTAATTAGTAATGTTTGATAAAATAAAATAATATAAAGGGCCATAATTTATCAAATGAAGTAATTTTCCAAAAATCTGATCTGTACCTAATCCGATAGGTTAAGTTGAGTTGGATGTAGTGAAAATCTCAAATTTTTGGGGTTATAATTCAGGTGTTAAAACCCTTTTTAGCCATGAAAGTTCACCTACAATGAATCCAGACCATTTGTGGTCTTCCACGTAAACTGGTTTGGAAACTCATGGATACAAAAAAAATCAGTAAGCTCAAAAAATAAGTTAGTTTATGGGTTGTTTGTGAGTGTTAAATATGAGTACCAAAAAGCAGGAAAATGGATATTGTGTAATGTAATTTTTTTTTTATCAACCTAGATATCCAACTCGCTATGCGAGTCGACTAATCCCAGGACGATCACCTGCTTTGCAGATAGCCCGGAGTCACCGCATTTGAACCTCCGTGGTCACAAGAGCATTTTTATTCCTCTTTGTATTTGAACCTGAGACTTCCTGATACTTTTGACCTTTGGAACCAAGCTCAAACCAATCAGACACCACCCTTGTATAAGATAGAAGTGAAATGTATTGGTTTAATTACATAGGATCTTAGTTAAGGTACAAGTGTGTGGTTGGTGGTTGGTCATGTGATCCTTGTCTGTTGGTTTTCAATAATTTGTTGTACCATCGTGTATTCATGCCTATTATGTATGAAGACAACTGAGATTGGGTCACATAGTGTGGGGACCAAATTGTAACTTTCATTTGGCTGGTGGGGGTGGATTGCCAAGCCTTTGTGGGGTTTGGTTTTATTGCTTCTTCACGCCCCTCACTTCCCATCCTTTTTCAAATCGAACACCTCTCTGTCGACATGTATTTTGAACAGGTGGCCAAAGACGACATGTATGTTCATACAGTATCTGTAGACACATACACATACACACACATAGGGGTATAAGAACTGCAAATGTTTCGAGAACCAGATAGAACCATCTATTTCATGTAGTATATCTTCCACATGGTTATTTTGTTCAGGTTGTTAAAGCGTTTTCAACTTCCAGTTTCCATGATGGTAATGATGACATTGGAAACTGTGAAGGTGTACGTTTTTATAGCATTCGAGTTAATGCTATTAATTAGATGAATATATACAGTTTTGTTTTTATGTCGGGTGTTTTTATATGGATGTATTATATTCGTGACATCTCATACTAGAAGACGGATTTTATTTGGCATTGGGTCCCAAGAGCTATTTTATTAATGGCACGTACACGTAAAACCATGTAATATCACATATGGTTTCTTCTGTCAAAAATCTATACACCTATAAAGTTATCATCATTCATATTGTTTAGTCAAACGTTCACTAATCATATTTTAGAAAGAATTTTACGATGATTTAACCTTCATATCACTGTTGTATCAAGGGTAACTATGTCATTTTATCCTACCGTGAAAGGGTGTTAAGTGTCGTATATGTATAATCAAGGGGCCAAATATCTAGAAGAAGAAAAAATAACAAATTACATAAATGATCCCTGAACATTTCTTCAACCTTCATTTCTTGTCCTCCCTTTAATGTTTGCAAGTGTTCATAGGTAGATAAATTAAGGGCCGTTTGGTTCAAACAGCAAAACGAAAATGAAAATGACAAGGAATGAAAATAAGATTAAATTTTCATTCCCACCAGTTAAACCTGGAATGAAAATAAACTTTCGAGGGGAATGGTTCTACTATATTATATAAAACCAAACAATTTCTTTTATTTTCAATCTTATTAATTACTGCTTAATACCTCTAATCAAACACCCCCTTGGTAAATTTGGATTAAAATCGTTATACAAAAAAACTAACTTTTTCAAGATATCCGAACATAAAAGGGTATATATTTTCGTTGACGAGTCACTCTCTTTGAAAATTAAATGATTTTGTTTTCTTGTGGTCATCGACTTCAATCGTCCCCTCAACCCATCACTGTATGTATGTATCATGAGTTATTGTGTCAGGCCTAAATATTTTAGGCTTTTAATTTCGTCTCCATCTTACGAGTTGGACACGGATTTTGTAACTGCTCGTGGAAGAATCGTTACTTGAACTTGACTTTGATTTTTTTTTTTGTAAAATTTGAGTCAAACGGTGACGGATTTAATTATATAATTATTAAAATGAAAGTAGATAGAAGATTTCGATGATAATATTAAATAAAAATAATAGAGAAAAAATGGTTGAAGGTGGGGTCCGATGTTCATGTTGGTTGGTTGTATGAGAGCAAGATTACCTAATGGTTTGTTGAAGAGTTGCGTAATTCTGTGCGCTACATACATCAATTTTGACCATCTATGGGTCCCAATTTGCTTTCCATTTCTACCATTTTTACTTTTCTCAAAATAAAAAACTAAAACAAAAGTTAAATTTAGGGGTGTTCGCGGTCCGGTTTGGATGGTTTAACCTCTTAGACCACAAACTAAACCGTAATGACGGTTTATAAAATTTTCAAACCGAACAGTTTGACATCAAGTGTCTAGACCGGTTAAACCAGACCATGAAAATGCGGTCTGGTCTGACCGGTTTAAAAGGTTTGGGCCTTTAATGGACTTTAAATATTATATTTAAAAAAACATATATAATTTATGGTTTTAGATTAAATACCATTTTGATTATGTTAAATGTTAGACTTTATGTTGAATTTAGGGATATATTTGAGTCATAGCACATAAGTTAAAAAAGTTGAACTTGCTAATATTAAAATAAATAATTATATATATATATATATATATATGGCGGTCGGTTTGGTCCAAATTACCTAAAAAGGTTCCAGACCGCAGATCGTACATGATCGCTCGATTTTACTATTTTCCAAACCAAATTAAACCACCAGACCGTTCAAACCATAAAAAACGGTCCGGTTTGACTTGATTTCGGCCGATTTGAACGGTCCAACGGTTTTTTTGATTAATTTTTTTTAAAAGATTATGTTCATAGAATCCTCAAATTCAACACTAATAATAATATTTTAATATTTTATTCATTTATTAATATTATCTTTCTCCTTAAATATTTGTTTTCGAAGTTTTGCGTCGGTAGTCTTACTTAGTAATCATTTTTGAGATTATCTCCATATTTAAAGAAAAAACCCTTCTTTCTCATACTTTCTTCATTTTGGAGATCTTTTTAGAAAATAAGTTGGAGCAAATTATTGGAGTTGAATGTAATTATTTTTAGAAATTTTAACTTTTAATATTTTATTTTAAAAATATTATAATATATCTAAAATAATTCAAAATTTCCAAGTTTGAATATTTAATAAGATTTCAAACATCAAACAGTAAATAATCAAATATTCAAATATGGGTTTTCGGTCTTTTTCCCCCTTAGAAAATACGAATATTAATTTAAAGGAAAAAGTATAATAAAAATAAATGGACTTTCTTGTTTGAAATGATTAAGTCCTTAAACTTTTTTTTTGGAACAAATAAGTCTTTGGACATTTCAAAACATGTTAAATAAGTCATTGGACAATTTTTTGGAACAAATAAGTCATTGGACATTCCAAAATATGTTAAATAAGTCCTTGRACAATTTTTGGAACAAATAAGTCCTTGGACATTCTAAAAAATGTTAAATAACTCATTGGACAATTTTTGGAACAAATAAGTCCTTGAACAATCCAAAACATGTTAAATAACTTCTTGAACTTTTATAAAACATGTTGGATACATTCTTATGACTTGTACAATTAGTTAAAGTGGTAAAATAGT